TTCATCTGAGCAATAGATTTCAGTCCTAACTCCCAAAAGTGCACACTGTCTTTAAGGAATGCAAAATCTTAGCAGAAATGAAGTCCAGTCAATGTGGGGGAAGGCTTATGATGGGCACTGTAAGAAGCCCATGATATGCTGAGATCACCAACTGTTTTAATGGCTGAGTGGAAAAAGTTTTGTTCATCCCCACCCGCATTATGAACATTTGATTTTTGCCCCAATGTGAATGTTCCCAGAATGTTTTTTTTTCCTGTAAGATGAAATATTGCTGAATTTCCTGGCTGTGTATACTTCTGAAAATCTGATACCATACCTTTGTAGGGAACCACAGCAGTTACCTTTGCTATGCAGCATTTGATGGAATAAAGCAGTCTTCTTTAATCTGGCATCCTCTAGAGACTACAGATGGTCATGTTGACTGGGAGTGATGGCAGTTGGACCCCAACACAATTGCTCCAAGAACTTGTAGTCACAGGGTTAAGAGGTTAATACCAGTTTCTGGGGAATGGAGGGGGGGCTATTTATGAATTCTAGATCTTGAACATATCCTGCTCATGTAATAAAGGATATGCTCACCTAAATCATAGTCACCACAAACAGGAGTTGTTAGGCATGGACATGTTCTATGAAATTTTAAAATTTTAGGAGACGCCTTAATAAAACTACACACTTCACCCCTCAGCACCACCCAGTTTTAGCTAGTAATGCTTTTTCCCACTAGTCAAAGAGGCCGGAAATAAAGGTGAGACTGGGCCACCTCTGGCCCCAACATTTTAGCACTGGTGCCATGACAGTCAAGCTTCCTTCAGGACAAGTAATTAATGCAAGGCAGCAAGGTGAGATGACTCAGATTCATCCTAGAGAAAGGTGGCAAAAGGACAACAAAACTCTTCTGATCCAGGTCATTGGCTGAATAGAGCCCCACGTAGGTACTCTGTGTGTGAGTGTAAGTAGCATGCAAGGAATAGGGAGCAAGAACTCGAGTGCAAGCTCCGGCTGCCATCCGTCACTGTTCTTGTGATCTCTACACATTGAGGGCAAGCTTCTGCAGTAGGGAGCCTTTTTGACCCTGTACACTGGGGAATCGTGATTCTAATTATCTAACTATCACGTGGAGAGTATGAAGAACTGCAGGGAAGGAGGGCAGCTCTCTTTCTTAGCCACACATCTTCCATCATACTACTAAACTCAAAAAGGAGCACCTGCATAAGCTTAGGAAGAGTCCAGAGGTACTACCTGGCAGAAGCATGGGTGAATGTTATCACCAGATGTTGTTGGAATGTCATTTCCGTCAACCATAGACGGGATTGTCAGTATTAATAGATGATGGGAGTTATAGATAAGCAACATCATTGCCCCATTCCTGATCTAAAGGGTCAGTAGCTGAATAGCAGATGAGTGTTCATTCTTCATTCAGTAATATTGGAAAAGTCAGAGGGAAGATGCTCTGTATACTTCTGGCCTCCACTAAATATGGGCTTGGAGAAATGTGTGTGTGTGTGTGTTTGAGGTGTATGAAATTCATCTTAGCAGCTTATCATTGTTAGTGTGTCTAATCTTTTGGAATCTTATTTGTCCTTCCTCATGTTTTCTTATAACTTTCTAGGTTTGCTAGGTTCTCTTCTTCCCAACCCATACCTCTGTTCTTTTACTTGTTTTGTATGCAGCATGATTTGAATTGTAATACTAATTAAAGGGTGTTTTAATTGGATGTGGCCCCTATTTTCTGGCCAGCATGGAAAGGACATACATACAGCATGCGTGTGGGTTGAGTTATAAAGTGAGGTTTTTGCAAGATTAATTTGTCAGTTAACATTAGAAATGTCTCTGGGTTGGAGGAGGATGTTAGGGCTGTTTGGATAATGGCAATGAGCTTTCAGGGTCTATAAGGGGAAAAGCACTAGATTACTCTGGCATGGCACTGCCTGGAAGATATCCAGTAGAAACCTGAATCCTTTCCAGGAAAATAGGCTTTTGAATGTGCTGACTCTAACAAGAGAACATTAGAAGCTAATTTGTCCATGGTTTATAAGCACATTGTGCTTTTAATTTGATCTTTTTTAGATATGTAGGGAAGGGTTTTAAGCTTTCTATCAATATTAAAGATCTTACTCTTAGGAAATGGCAGTGAAATCAATATTAAAGTTAAAACACTTCTTCTGTCACCCCTCTTTCCCCCGCCCTCCAGATTCTCTTAAAATACACCTGAAGTGAGGCTAATTCTCAATCTTATATTTTTTTTCCTGGGGATAGATACAGATTATATTAAACACAAAGTCATTTATGGGTGGATGCAAATTTCATGTGTTGCTGTGTCAGATGTGAATGAGGTAGGTGTGAACAATTTGACCTGCCCTTTTAAAATAAACTGGGCTCCTGCTTCCAAGGATTTTAAAGTGAAATGTGGCACATTCCATGTGTGCATACACTTTTGCTCAACTAGAGACTTGCTATGCATATTGAAGTAGAAAATGTACAGTGAGGGTTGGCCTTCAGTTCAAAAACCTTGGTCAATATACTTGACTCCCGCAAATTAATTCAGAAATGACTGCCTGAATTTCACCTCCCTTCTAAAAGGTAATTAAATGCTGTATAATACTGATACATTGGTGTTCTGTGCTGCTGGTATTATAGCAGTGTACAGTTGTACTCAACAGTTGATCCAAAAGATAACTTTTGTATGTCTGCGAAGTAACAAGGTATAGGCATAAGACTGCAGAGAAGAACACTGAATGCTGCCTGATTTATGATGCACTATTAGCATAATTTGATAGCATTTTGGCATATCTTCAAGCTAGTACAAATTATGTATGAATTGTGTACTAATATGCACTAAAGGTAGGATGGGAATGGTTGTATCATCTCAAGTCCGTGCTACATATTTTTAAAAGTCAGTTGTCCTGCCTTGCTTTAAAATATGCATGCTGGGGAAAAGAATCAAAAACCCATCCAGACAACATGACACTGCTGATTTTCCCTCAGGCGCACTCAAGAAAACAGTTGTGGATGTGCAGTGGCAGACTTAAGGGAGAAGTGGGAAAATCCTCTGGGCCTAATCAGTGGGTGCATAAAATCTTGGTTTGGTCTAGAGGTGGCTGTAGACAGGGAAGGTGTTGACCTCTGAAATTTGTTTATAACTCCCTGCGAAGAGTCTGTTTGCAAAGGCTCTGGCTGTGGTCAAGGCCCGTACATGAGGATGGCATCTTTGTTGGCTGTGCTAGAGAGAATCACCATGATAACATGGGGTAATTCCCTTGTCTAGCTGGCAATAGGAAGGGGTTGTATAATTTGGATCACAAATGTCGAAGGAATATTCCAGTATTTGACATCATGGTCTGGAAAGTGATTTCAAGCTTACTTTCTGTTTCAGCAGGAGACAACTTGTTAGTTTTTAAATTTTGGCCTGCCCCATATTCTGGAACTAAACATTGATTTTAGTTCAAACAGAACCTGATCTTCTTTCCAAAACTCTAGAACCATATGGATTGTAAAACTGTAAATCTGATCACTTGTGTGCCTGATTCCAAGCCAGGGTGAAAGCGAGAGGTAATTATATATAGCTTTTTTCAGATAATGAATTTGATTGCAAGGTAAGATTTGCAAATAGTACAGAGTTGCAATTTAGATAATAGGCAGGGGAAAGCCTTGGAGTTTTGAAGGGGGTGTTTTTGATGCTTGGTAATGCTGTTGTTTGTTTTTCAAAAGGGACAGGGCCATTCATAAAGGAGAGGAGACAGCAAATGAGACTCGATTTGCTTAAATAACATGGTTTTTGAAAGTGAAAGCATATTTCAAAGCCATTCTGTGAATTGCTTGTTCAACAGTGCAGGGGGAGTGGGCTATTGTCAGTGCCAGGTGTGAAGTGAAGCAGTCCCCTGTTGGGATAGATTGAGTATGACATGCCTCCCTCTACCACCTTCTCTTGCTCCCCACTCTTCTCATTCAACAGCATCAACATACCATCTACCCCACAATGGTTAGCATGGTAGAAGCTTGATGCAGCCTTAGCTGAGGTCAAGCACTCCAATTCGAACCTCTCAAGGGCTTTCTCAATGTGTTGCCAGTGTACTGGTAAAAATGACTTTAAACTCTTGTCAGCGCAGTTACTGGTGCATGCATCACAGTCCCACTCAAATAAACCTGTCACAACACAGAGTCAGCAGCTAGAGAAGAGTACAAGGGCAGGCCTCTAGCTTTTCATTCGAGCATCACTAAACGTGCACAGAGTGCCCAATTATTTCAGCATTATTGAGCAAGCCTACAGGAGGACCCAAGCCTTGCTACATTAGATTTTCTTTAGTAATTTGCTCAAGTACCGCTGAGGACACTTAAAGGACTTAAAACGGTGGCTGCAACCAGTTTCCTTTTCTGGATTGTTAATTCAGGTTTCCTCTTTCAAATTAACTCTCACTGCATGCTGTGTGGCAGCTCTGGGAGAATTGTTTAACGCTAATTTTCTCAATTTTCAGCTTTCCTGTTACGAAAAAAAAAAAGGAAAGAAGCAAAACTTTATTACCACTTTTATAGTTTTCTCATGTATTTTGATTAGACGTGTGTATCTGTGTATAACTGCTCCTGGAAGAATAATGTTGAAGGAATTGCACTTTGGAATGTCAGGGTTTGGGGTGGCTTTGTTGTTGTCCTTTTGGGGATAGTGCAGTTGAACCGTGGATTAATAAAGGTGATAATGGGCAGCCTTCCTCCTTTCCTCTCCACCATTTTGTTCCCAAATAGAGTCCTTGATTCAGGCCATATGTCTTTACTTGTTTTCTGAACAATGCATGATTATGCATTTCAGCCATGAATAACTTCGTCCTATGTCTTCACCCTGTCTTGAGGTACTGGCACTGTATTTAACTGGTGGATTAATTTGTAGCCAAACAGGGACACTGGTGGGTTGAGAGCCCTTGAAAGCACAAGACAGCACATGGCTAACAACACTTGCGGTGCTCATTCTGGGAACAAATTCAATATCTATGTTTAATTTTTCACAGCAGCAACAACTCCAGGCCCAGCATTTGTCACATGGACACGGTCTCCCTGTGCCTCTCACACCACACCCTTCTGGATTGCAGCCACCAGCCATCCCACCCATTGGCAGCAGCGCTGGCCTTTTAGCCTTGTCGAGTGCCCTTGGGGGACAGTCCCACCTCCCGATCAAAGATGAAAAGAAACATCATGATAATGATCACCAAAGAGGTAGGAGAGGCTTCACTAGTCTCATACTCACATGTACAGTATGATGATTTGTGGGAAAGTTGGGGTGAATAACAGAAGATTTGTTGAGTTTCCAACAAATACTCTTAACTTTTTCAAATTCTCAAGCCACTTTCAATTAACCAACACTCTCTTTCTCTCCTAAATGCTCTGTCCATTCTGGCTTGCTGCCCTGTATCTCCTGAACATGTAGATAGTGCCATACCACCTCTCTCCCTCGCCTGAAATGTTTCCCTAATACCAATTTTCCTTGATATTGTGTGTATCTCCTTGAACATTACCAGCTGTAACCAAGCTTAAAGCATATGTAACTGCATCTGCCCACTTTTGTCACTCCCTCCCCTCCCCTCCCTTCCCCTCCCTTCTTTTGTTTTTCCCCATTGTCTGTTTTAAGCTGTACATTCTTTGGCACAGGGACCCTTCTCCTTTGCCATGTTAACTTTATATGGAACTAGTAGGAACAAACCAGCCTCAGTGTCTGCCTCATGTGTAAAGAGATCAAAAGCAACTGTTGTTGATTTAGAATCAGCCACACTTCCATGTGATATCTAAACTGATTTTCTAACTACTGTTAGTCAACAACCAGAACAACCACACCTGTTTTGGATTCACATATATTTTTTCTATTCTTATAATAAAATAAATCACACATCCCCTGGTTCACATGTCATAGGGAATAGTGGCTTAGTTCTAAACTGAAAGAAGAAATGAGCCTTAGGTTTAGCATTATGTTTGAACTGGGCCATTGTGTAAAAAAAAATGGCAGAGAATGTATAGCTGTTAATCTGTGCTATAGCACCAAGATCATTCAATCTAGACACTTGAACCTTAATATACATTCTAAGGGGACCACACTGTGTGGACTTAAGAGTTACTTTGTTTGTGAAATGTATTAATCAGTGTAAACTGATTTAAAACTGTTGATGCAGTTGTAGATTCTAGTAACATCCTCAGCCGCTGGAAGAAACTTCTATCATCATCATACAGTTTTACAGTGCACATAGTTTGGGACCAAGGAAGATTAGTGGGCCAAAGCACTATATATGCTTGCACCCCCGGTGGGGGGTTAGCCCTCCCTCAGGGGAATGGCGTGAACAGACCCTTCCTCAGGTGGCCATAGCAATGTGCCATGTAAGAGGCTGGACTTAGATGTGTCAGAATTTGTGGCTTCACTCCGATGGGATGAATATAATGGTGTGCCCAATGCTTAAGATCTGTGTATACTTGCTGGAAGGGTTCAGTGTAGCAAATGAAGAAAAGTTCCCTACAGAACTGGGTGCATTGGCTAGTAATGAATAATATCTTACAACATCCTCACTTCTGCAGGTGCATTAGTACCACTGCTCTGGTTAGACTTTAGAAATTTCAGTGGATGGTAATGCAGAGAGATAAAGATGGAATATTGTGCTTAAGAACTGTGTACTTTATCTGCATCTCTTGTCTCTGGGAAAAAAATGCTTATCCCTATATTGCACCTTAGATTCCTAAATTAGTGCTGTAGTATTGCCAAGTTTGCCAGTCAACCAATATATCCAAATATATTAAAGCATATAGAATTTGTTGCTAAATTTTGGGTTAAAGGATATATTCCAATTGTAGATTCAAGTGTATAATATGTAGAATATTAATAATTATAAAGAAAGTGAATACCTCAGACTTGGGGTTTCTTTTTGTTTGTGGTTTAAGAAATACATACTTCTCTATTAAAATAACTTGTATTTGTCTCTGTCTT